AAGTGTTTGAACAGTCATAGACATTTTTTATGGATATACTGTACAGAACGTTTCGAAATTTTATTTCACAAAATAAAATTGAAACGATCTTTGTGTCGTACGATTACACTACTAAAGATATTCCCTCCGGTCATTGACGATATCTCATTGTCAGTCATTGATGACGTTACAATCTGACCTGTAGTGATGCGTAATATGTGTATTATTAGCTACTGTTTTCATTTAAACAAATGAAACATAACAAGATTTAAACTGAACGATACATTCTCTATCACTTATATTATCAAAACATCGAAACGTTATTCCGCAACTACATGATCATTTGAAATTTGACCATAATATATGAACACTCAGCTTTGTCAGCTGGAAAGAAGCTTCATTCGCAGCTCGAATAATTACCAATCTTTATAGTATTTCTGCAAATAATAATGGAAAGATAAGACATTCGAATTCAAAGAAATTTGAAACTTTGCGCAAATAAAATTCAACCAGAATAATTTTCTCTTTCTATTGAAAAGTGATCTTCGAAGTGGACTTCTTTTCAAGAAGAAATTTTAACCTTTCATATGTATATTATCGCGAATATTCAAACTGTGTAAGATACATAAGATAAAAAATTAAATTAAAAATTGGCGGAAAATTTTCGAAAATTAAAAAATTAACTTCTCTTCTCTATATTAAAATGAAATTTTCTGTAAGCGTCAGACGCATTTATAATACAACATTCCTGTTGAAACGTTGCGTTTTTTTTTAATTTTTAGACGACTATTGAAATTTTCCTGCTCGCTTCGACGGGTACTGCGCGCTTCTAAAATTGTTCTCCGACATTTTTATACATTCTGCATATTCGAAGCGATTGAAAGTGCTCGATAGCTTATCGCTAATCGCGTAGCTAAGAGTTATCCGGAAGAGGATACGGCAAAGATGTCCCCCACGAACCACGCGAGTTAGGTGTGAACGTTTCAGACACTTGGCACGTGCTGGCCACAGTAAAGGCGAAAGTTAGCACGAACGGAGTATCGACGACGAGAGTGTCGGGCTCGTTCAATACTCCAATGGAGAATCGAAGAGAGAACGAAAGAGAGATGGAGAGAGAGAGGAAGAGAGACTGAGAGTGACCGAGGCCCGGTTCGAGCGGGTAAACCGCTCGATTTGCCTGGGTTTCGCCGCCACGACACCTAAACAGGTAGACTCCACCGATAATACTACTTAGAGGGTAGTGGAAGAGGAATCACCATGAAAACAGGCGCATGCATTTTAAGGCCCGTGCAATTAATAGGGCCGTACTCGTGCCACGAAAGGCGATTTAGTGGGAACAAATGAGTCACGAGCGGCGACGGGACGTCGTCGTAGGTCGAGGCAAAATCCAATGGTAGGGATATCTCAGGCACGACACTATTGAAACCAATGCCACGAAACTTGCAATTAGCCTTTGAACATATCGACGCTCACAGAATGACAAAATAATAAATGAAATGTATTCATTAGATTGTTATATTAAAAAAAGATGAGCATTTTGTACTCAAGCAGCTGGCACTGCAATAACCCCGTGATTCATTTATTGGTATTACGTAGAATAGCGGAATGAAATTGAGCTTGAAATATTATTTAAAATGTTATTTTAAGATAGCAAATTAAAATAAAGATTCGATGAAGGATTTCTATTCTATTCGGAGTACCAACTGGTATTTTGAAAGCCTCGTGACTTATCGTTGACGTTACAAAATAGTGAAATGAAGTTAAATTTAGTTAAGTAAAGCAGCAAGATGAAAATTGTTATAAAGAAGCAAATTAAAATAAAATTTCGACAAAGTTATATCAATTGAAGATTCCTCTACGAAGGTTAAGATTTGAATATTCCACATTTAAATGCTTAGTACTGCAAAAATCGTCCATCAACGTTACAGAACAATAAAACGAAATAAATTAAAACATTATGAAATTGTTCCAAATGAAGGTTATGATCTCAATCAATTCCACCATCAAACAGTTGGTACTCCGAAAATCCCACTTTGCTTTGTCCATTAATATTATAAAAGACAATGAAACAAATTCAAATTTCTCTGAAAAGAAAAGTCACAAAGTGTAAAATTTCTATCAAATGTCGAGACATCGAGGTTTGGTCTCGTGACTCATATCGAAACAAAGAAAATTATTGACAACTTACAACTACTCCAAAGTTCGTCGCCATGTTGCTGGAATGTTCGCACGAAGATCAGCGAATATCTGCAAATTCGTTGAATACTTCAGGATTTGTCGAAAAAGCGTTGACAAAGCGTAATGAAATCGGTGTCAGTTTCGTGGCCAGGAGCGAGACACGTGGCTTGGCAAAATGCACGACGAAGCGTACGGCCCTGAACCGGGATGGTGGACAGGCAAGCGCGCAAGTCTTCTGCTAGTGCCAAACGATTCCCTTGATACACTCGCGTCTGGAGTCTCGTTGTAGTCGGGTCGAACGTTTTGCGCCAGTTTGTGTCGTGCACTTGTCAGCATTGCAGAGTGATTGTGCGAACCGATCCACTGCGAAACACGTCGAAGAATCGCCATCGCGGCAGTGAGCGTCGTTCAACGGACACGTTTGTCGAAGGGAAGAGTCGAAGTGTACTTCGATAGATCGCAAGGAACGACTGAGACGGTTGAGTCGCCATCTTAGATCCGTGGTGAGCACGTTGCGAGCGGTGTCGAGACATTTCCGTGCAGTTGGCGAGTTTTTCCAAGAAGGAAAATTTCACAGGCATGCGAGAGGGGAAGCTGTCGTTTTTCCTCGAACGTGAACGCGTATAAAAACCGACACGGTGCATGCCGACAGGAGGCAGACGCAGCGAGCGCCGCGAGCGAGTAACCCGTGAGTGCGGCGGATGCCACCGATGCACGAAACCCAAGTGAAGAAGAAACGACCGTGTGCAAAGTGACTTCCTGGAGGAGAGAGATTTTTTCTTTTCTGTTTCCTAATTTACGGGTGCCTGGCTGGGTGGTGCTGGTCATCGACGACACGCACAAACCGACTGGACAGATCGTCAGCATGAGTAAGATGCTGGGTACAAACTATTGCACCGTATTCTCTGTACTTAGAAGTCCCGAAGAGGGTGAATCGTTTAAACGGATCATCTGAAAGAATTGTCGGAAAACGAACGGAAAGCCGAGAAGAAATAAACCGTGTAACGCTCGTAGGAAGAGACGAAGCACTGGGTATACGAATTCAGACACGTTCGAGTGGCAGCCGTTTAATCGAGGGCGATTAGTCGAATCGCGATCGATAGTGCACGAGCGAGCGCTGGAACGAGTGCAATCGATTTTTTTCGAGCAAGCGAAAAAATAAAAAGTGCTTGGTCATTGTCAGTTGGGGGACTCGTGTCGAAGCTGCGTGATCACCTGCGAAGAAAGAACTGCGACGTTGACGTAATCGATTCTATATATAGGTGATTGAAATTCGCGAGACCGTGAAGTGAACGATACATAAAAGGGCGAGGTGCACGGATATAATTTCCCCCTCCCTTTCATCGACGGACATTACGATTTTCAAATCTGGACGTTCTCTCCTCTGTATCCATTAACGGTACCTTTTCGATACCTTTTGAACATTCACGTACTTAAATCAATCTCTCGTTTCGTAACCTCTGTTTATTTCAGTGATCGTGGAGAAGAAATCGAAACTGTGATTTCGAGTCGTTGTCGTTAACGGACACGGACAACGGGGTGATTTGTCGAGAGACACGATCGTCTGATCGATAAGACAGATCCCTATTGATCGAGAAGAATCGAACGCCAAGGAAGAACAGTGCGACTCGAGCCGAAAGTTTCCCTGCCGATCGAGACACCCGACGGCATCCAAAATACTTTTATAACCCGTAATGTATTTGAGATCGCACGTGCAGGCAGCAAAAGGGAGGCACGAGAATGCAAGAGAGGCGATAGAGTCTGGCTGCGGAACAAGAGGCCGGAGCAACGTTGGATCGGCCGCGAGAGGCAAGGGCAAGACGAAGAAGGATTCTCTGGTTGACTGCTGCTGGGATTTCGAGGAGCCTCAGCCGCTTCGTCTGAGATTGGCCGACGAACAGGACTCGAAACAGGCGTGCATACGACGCGGTATGAGTGAAGGTGAACGAGCTGTGACCACGCCACGAATCGGCTGGCGAAAGCTCACTGATCCTGGCGACTGACACGAATTCAGCAACTCGGTGGCAGGTCCGAAGCGATAGCATCAGCTACTGTTTCACCGTCAACGTGATCGTTGTCCTGTCGCTCAAACAACTAGCCACTGCCACTTGGACACTCGTGGAACCATCGTCGAGCCACGATCGCGACCCGTTCGACAGGATACCGCTATATCCTGACGCACCTTGGTCGCCGTCGATGTCAGCCAAATGCAAGAGGACGCCCCGTTTAGATTCACGTCGCGAACATTGAAGACGGACCCGAAAATGGCGGGCAATCGGTGTCGGTAGCAGACGGGGTTACTATCTAAAACAGCGATCTCCTCCTCGTACTGCGCTTATCCTAGGGGAGCCACGTCTGAACTCCGATTGGTTTCGGCTAGATTCCACTCCCGATTTTCTCTCTTGCCGCGAGTATTTTATTCTCGTTGATCTCCCTTATCCGAAGCCAGTTGAACATTGTGCTCGTTCGTTTTCCTTCGTTTTTCTTTTCATTTCTCGTTGCCGTTGTTGCATTCAAGTAACAACGACACGCATACACGCGGGTACACGACTGGCCGCGTGATAGACAATAAACCGTAGCTGATATAGGAGTAGTGGTAACATGTAGTTGTGAGACGATCAAGGATTCAAATTGGGGAAGAAGGACAAGAAACGTCGAAAGGGAAAACCCACTGTCGTGATACCGCAAATAGTATCCTCGCTGAGTGATCTCTACCAAGAGACCACGAACAATAATTGTATCTGATTCAAAGAAAAAAAAGAGAAGAGAAACATATATATATATATATATATATATATATATATATATATATATATATATATATATATACATATATAGATACGTGTGTGTATGTATATTTATATACACATATTGGTATTATATATATACACGTGTAACATTCGCACTTAAACCTCGCTTTTCCTGCGATCATCATGCCGCCCACTCCAAATAAATTGAACTTGAGCTTCGCCAGAAACGCGTACAGCGTGTTTGGGGCACGCGGTACCAATACCACTGCTGATCATCAGCGCGAGCAGAAAACGGAACTTTTGGAGGGTAAGAGCTTTGGATCGTCGCCTATTTAATTAGATTATTTGGCAGGCGACTCGATCGGATCGTCCTTGACGATCCTTCCGAATGAAATCGCTTTCCATAAATATCATACCATTGATAGCTCGTTCTAATTGATGGTCACGAACGTTTCGCATCGTTACGAAGCAATTTATTTCATGTGATTATTTCTGAGAAATTTCATCGCCTTTCGTCGCCTTACATTGTTGGCCAATGTTGATATTAATTTAATTGTTTGGTCGTTTATTTCAGGAACCAGGAGCAACGGAATTCTTCATCTAAAAAATGGTATCGATTATATCAACCCTGGTGAAGAAGACCAAATGGAAATCTATGGGTAAGCGACTAAAGTCCCATTAAAGACCGATTAACTTAAACAAATTAAAAACTAGAAAAAATGCAGGTGCTATTCTTTAAATTTCACACTGTAATTTATGATTGTTATTATATTGCTTGTTAAGATTGTCAGATTGTTATGTAACATCTTGTTTTCAATTTTTCCAGGTATAAGAGAAATAAAATTCTAACCGCTGTTACTTGGTTCTTGATCATCATTACCGGAGGATTTCTTAGATTGGTCTTCCATTGGATACCGCATCTCATGTTGCTAGCGACTCATTCCAAATGTCAATTAGAAACCGCAGATACTGTTTTGCTGATAGAAAAGTTCCAAGGAAAACACACAAGTTATTACGTGAAAAAACTGAAGACCTTGGCTGCTCAAGATATACTGTATGTACTATTGGTTTTTCCTTATTGCAATTCAAATTTTTCTCGCTTAAGTTGCAAGCTAATCTTCTACACGTGTTTCGAAAAGTAAACCATTCGATGGGAAATCATTGATGGATAATGAACCATCGTGGATGGAGAACGGCAGCATGATAACCATCAAGGAAGTGAAGGAAGAGTATCCCCCCACCCTTTCACTGCATTTAATCGGTGGACAATTTAAACGTAAGAACTCAACGACTTTAAGGAAAAATATTTTCTTTTTATAATAATAAAATTTTTCTCTGTTTAAAAATAAAATTAAATAATTTTTGAAAATGTTTTCTAAAAGAAATGAATTAATATACATTACAGAAGTTCCGTCGATCGTTTTGTTCCATTGCAAAAAGTTAACTTACGTTTGGGATCCCGAAAGATCCGAGTTTCTGAAGCTTCGTGGTTTAGATGTAGGAGTTTTAACCTCCACGTTGCATCAGATGCAAGGATTAAATTCACTTGAACAACACATGAGGTAAAAATCTCATATGATAGAGACTTTTGTAAAAATCAATCGATTTAATCTAACGAGTATCTTCCTATTTCTTTATAGACGCAGCGTTTACGGAAACAATGAAATCGTGATTCCAGTAAAGAGCATTATAACACTACTCTGTCTCGAAGTCCTTAATCCATTCTACGTCTTCCAGCTGTTTAGTTTTTGTCTCTGGGTTGCCGACAATTATTACTACTATGCTATGGTCATCTTAACCATGTCCAGCATCGGTATAATTATGGCAGTCTTCCAGACTCGTCGGGTATGTAATTAGATTGCACATCTTTGTGCAATTTCATGTTAAATGTTGTAACAAGTACTTTACTTTCAACATATTATATTCTTATTTTATATACGTATTTTTATTTTATACTTTTGTATATCGTGTGCATTCTCTACATTGTTGCATCCTAATGCATAAAAAACCACAATCTGTTAATAGGTAATGACCTTTTTACAGAATCAACACAACTTACGATCCACCGTGCACTCTTCCGACGTGGCAACGGTGATAAGGGATCGCGCGACCGGGCAAACAGCAACCGTGCCTGCTGAAAAACTAGTACCTGGCGACATTTTAATTATTCCATCTCATGGCTGTTTGATGCCCTGTGATGCAGTACTTCTAACTGGGAATTGCATTTTAAATGAATCTATGTTGACCGGAGAGTCGGTTCCTGTCACGAAAACACCTATTCCTTCGTCCAGTGAAATAATATACGACACTAAGGAACATGCAAGGCACACGCTCTTCTGTGGTACTAAAGTCATCCAAACGAGATATTATGGTTCAGAAAAGGTAACTAGATATATGAATATTTTGATTAATGAAATTAAAAAAACTGTTTCCGAGCGAAAGTTGATTTCACACAAATGTAATTGTGTTATTTTTATATATTATTTGCTTCTAAATTTTCCATAAATACTATTCCATAAAAATTGCTAATTCATTTTAAAGAACGGTTTTAATTTGTTCACAGGTTTTAGCTGTCGTTGTGAGAACCGGATTCAACACTAGCAAAGGTGGACTAGTCAGATCTATCATGTATCCTCCACCCGTGGATTTCAAGTTTGAGCAAGATTCGTACAAGTTCGTCGTGTTGTTGGCTGCTATAGCTAGCATCGGCGTGATTTACACCATCGTTACAAAGGCTATTAGGGGTGTTCCAAGCAATCACATTACTCTGGAAGCGTTAGATCTAATTACGATAGTAGTACCACCAGCTTTACCAGCGGCTATGACCGTTGGTCGACTGGTGGCACAGCGTAGACTTGAGAAGAACAAGATTTACTGCACGAGCCCAAGGACCATTAATGTATCGGGATCGATCGATTGCATCTGCTTCGATAAAACTGGAACGCTGACCGAAGATGGCCTCGATATGTGGGGCGTGGTGTCCACTGTCGACAAGAAGTTTCAACCAGCTATCAAAAATATCACGTCCTTGCCTTTGAACGATCTTCTCATCGGAATGGTGACCTGTCACGGGATCACTATAATAGAAAATCAATTAGTAGGGGATCCACTTGACCTAAAAATGTTTGAATCTACGGGTTGGACTTTAGAAGAGCCCGATGTATCCGATACGTCGAAATTTTCCATGATTTTCCCTACGATAGTACGGCCATCGAAGGGCTCCAAGTTGTTGAAGAAAATACCTAACGAAATAAGGATCTCGATAAGCCGACAAAACTCCATGTCTTCTGACGTGATGGATAATATCTCTTTGAATAACCTCGATACCACGTTGGCTGGTTCCACGACAGAATTGGGGGAGCAAGGTTTAGAAATCGGGATCGTTCGTCAATTTCCATTTACGTCTAGTCTTCAAAGAATGAGCGTGATCACCAGGACCTTGGGAGCTAATCATTATGATCTTTACTGCAAGGGTAGCCCGGAAATGATTCTTAGTCTCTCCAGAACAGAATCCAGTAAGTTATTGCGATAAACAATTTTTCTTTTTTAACCTCTCAGTCGGAAAATATTTTACTTCTACGTTGAAGTGACTATATTTGGAATGATACAGACTTATAAAATTTAGTGACTAAAAGTGCTGAGACCGTAGCATTAATACTGATTTTCAAAAAATTATCTTAAGAGAAAATAATTTTTTCTATTAAATTTTCTTCAAATTGTTATCAATCAATCGTATTATTGTCTTTACAGTTCCACCAGATTTTGGCAGCGTTTTACAATATTATACGTCGGAAGGCTATCGTGTGATCGGTCTCGCACACAAGTCTTTAAATCGTCTTCCTTACGCCAAAGTTCAGCGATTGAGTCGCGAGTCTGCCGAATCTGATCTGACGTTCTTAGCATTCGTGATCATGGAGAACAGATTGAAACCAGAAACCACGCCTGTGATCAGTGCATTAAACACTGCCTGTATAAAGACTGTCATGGTAACTGGCGACAACATGCTGACCGCGTTGTCCGTTGCCAGAGATTGTGACATCGTGAAGCCAGGTACACCGGTCATCGCAGTCTCTGCTACTCAGCAGAATCAGATGAAACCACAGATCTATTTCACGAAGAGTAACAGTCAGCCATCGACAGGACACGGCGATCTCAGCGAAATGACTGATCTGAATAGTGTAGCTAGCTTGGAAACAGTCGAAAGTGGTTCTTTTGGGAACAATCAATTCGAAAACGATGTCAATTATTTATCTGATGAGTAAGTTCATAAAGCTATATCACCAGATAATTACCAGATTAAATTAATTTTAAATTTATTATTTCTTTTTTAATGTTTTAAATTAATATGTATTTCTTCTTTGATATTTTAATATAAACTTTATTAAACATAATTGTTGGATATACTTACAGTTTAAAATTACATGTAAATTAATTTAAATTTTAAACTAAAGGATCAAATTTGCATTTAAATTAAATTCAATTTAAATTTTTAAGAAATGTCTAATTTTTCTGTACCATTGCATTTCAGCTTACAACATTCGAAAAATAAATACGTGTTTGCACTCACGGGTAAGACGTGGGCACTAGTCAAACAATATTACCCAGAACTGATTCCCAAACTTGTCACCCGAGGAGCAATCTTCGCGAGAATGTCGCCAGACCAGAAGCAACAGCTAGTTCAGGAATTGCAATCCTTGGGATATTATGTTGGTATGTAATCTAATTCCTTTTTGAATATTTACATTATTTTGATTGAAATGTTCATTTCAAATATTATTTTCAGCTATGGTGGGCGATGGTGCAAACGATTGCGGAGCCTTGAAGGCTGCCCACACTGGAATTTCTCTTTCCGACACTGAATCTTCAGTAGCATCACCGTTCACCAGCCGCGAGACAAATATCTCTTGCGTATTAACCGTAATTCGAGAAGGTCGTGCAGCCCTGGTCACTTCCTTCGGAATATTTAAATATATGGCCAGTTACTCTCTCACTCAATTCATCTCCGTGATGCTGCTATACGGTATCGAATCGAATCTGACGGACATCGAGTTTCTCTACATAGATCTGTTCATAATTTCGATCTTCGCTTTCTTCTTTGGTCGTACCGAGGCTTACGATGGTCCATTAGTGAAGACAGCTCCTCTCAACAGTCTTATTAGTACCACTCCGATTCTTAGTTTAGTCACGCAAATTTTGATCGTGGCTCTATTCCAGTCCGTTAGTTTATGGCATCTTGAACAGATGGACTGGTTCGTGCCCTTTAATGCTACGCTGAAGGCCGCTGAAAACAAAGACGACGTGAGCTGTACCGAGAATTACACGGTTTTTATAATCAGTTCCATGCAGTACATCATCCTAGCCGTGACATTTTCAAAAGGCCATCCGTACCGAAAGTCTTTGTTCACGAATTACGGTCTGCTCATGTCGTTCATTTTCCTCACCATGTTCTCTGTCTACCTCGCTACTTTTCCCTTCGAGTGGCTGCGGGACTGGTTCGAGTTGATCCTTCCAGAAAGCGTCAGCTTCCGTTTCATCCTAGTCGGCTACGGCATCGCCAACTTCATCATCTCGTTGCTGATGGAATACTTGTTCGTTGACTACCTCGTTTTTAGGAAATTACGCTACCGTTGGCACAACGTAGATAAATCCAGGCGAAAGTTCCTCGCGATAGATCGCGACATGGCACGCGATTTGAAATGGCCGCCGATTTCACAAGAACCATTGCCAGAAGCGGCGCCCGATATTCTCATACGTCAGAACGTTACCGAGATCAAGATCGAGAAACGCGTTTCCGAGCCCTGTCATCCCGTGGACACCAGCTTCATGAACAGCCCTATTTGCGCCAATTTCAAGCACTTCGGCTCGGCCAGAGAAGTTACTCTGAATCCCAGATCTCTGTTCAATGATCGCAGGAACACCGTGTCCATGCAAACGGTACCCTGTTTTGAGGATAGGGATTCTGTATTGAAACAACCGAACATAGAGTTGACGGCGAAGCGAAGATATAATTCAGAATCGGAGAAGGGTATCAATCGATACGAAAAAACTAGTTTTAAAAGCCATAGCACGAATCCGATCGCCACTCTACCTAGGAACACAGCAGTGGCGCCCCAACCGCAGAAATTGAGAGACTTGAAGAACGTCTTGATGCACAAAAGTGAAGATGGCTTGTCGCCCAGTACACAAAGTGTCCTTGAACTCGATATTCTACCATCATAGAAGAGAGCGATTTATATTCGAATTGATAGTGACCAAAGAATACAGTACTTCAAGCAACGAATCGTGATCAGTTTCGAGTTTGGAAGATGATCCTCCGTTTGGGTACACTTTCGCTCAAGAGTTTCGAGCATGTTAGGATTTCAACGTTTCAAAAGGAAAGGTTAGGAAAAACTTCCTTAAGTAAATATCTTATTTATACAAATATTTTATTTATGATATTCATATTTTCATTGAAACTGTAGTTGATCCTTGATTGATATCATTGAGCTGTTACAAGATTGTAGGTTAAGTTTATTTTTTGAAATTTTTAATTCAATCGAATTTTATTACTAATTAAATAAAAAAAAGATGAAATACCCAAAATTTTAATAATTTAACGTTAATTACTTTGGCCATCTAACTCAATGACATTACTTGAGGATTAATTTATATTACCAAAAATATAAATTAATTTATATTGCCAAATCGATTGACTCCACAAAAGAGAAAATGGAAAAAGTGAGAAAATAGTATATTCTTTTTTAAAATTTCCTTTAAAATTTGAATAAACATTGTGGAATAGATTGTTACAGTTTTTCATAATAATACATAAAATGTATAATATGATATATCCTTGAAACAATCACAGTGGCCACTGAAATAAATTATTTATTATTCCACGATGGAAAAAATTTTGTCACTTGCTGATAGCCCAATTATTAATAAAAATTATTTATTATATATAAAAAGTTAGGGATTAATCAAGTGCTTTGATACAAAAGTTAGAAAAAGACCAAGTAGTGTTAATCACTTTGGTCTGTTAAAGGAAAAATAATATCCCAAACTTTTGAGCAGAAGTGTATCTGCCCAATTTATATGCATCACGATTGCCACGAAGTATCTTCACTTAATCTGCCAGTGCATTTGTTGTCCCATGACAATTGCGACACAAGACTGTTTTTCAGCTGCTATACCACTCGGGAACCACTCGGGAACGTTTTGATTGAATCACAATAAAGATCTAAGAACCAGTTTCAAATCACTGGACGTGCAAACTGGAGAAAACTGGAACATGGCAAGATTTTCAATGCAGTCTCTAACAATCGTTCTACAAGAGTGCATTTAGAATGCCGCGGCATTCACGACAGCTTTGGTAACCGACGATGCGTTCCCATGAGCATCGTACGGTACTTCGACCGAAGGGGTCCCTTTTGACCCGGTCTTTCTTCGTCCTCCTCCTTTACTAGTATTCGAGCATACCACTCTCGTGAGAGAAAGTATTATTGTATATCGTTAGTTTATTTAACACTAGATGATAAATTTTAACTCGCTCTGCGTGCCAGGGAATTGAGGATCTTCTCGTAGAAGAACAAAGAGTTCCCTTTGACGCAGGCCGAACGAAGTAGATAGGTAGATACATATTTTTCTTCTTTTTTTTTTTCTTTTTTGGAAAAATTTTTTCGCGTTTAGATGCCGTCTTTTTTCACTGCGGTTTCAAAGATATACTTAAAAAAAAAAAAAAAAAAAAAAAAAACAGAAAAGAAAAAATAAAAATATTATGTGAGCACATACACGCGCTCCATGTGACAGAATGAATTTTCTATACTAGGAAACTAATAGGGAATTGATGACAATTTCCGTTTTCACGACGAGTATATTCTCCCCCTTTCTCGATAATTCGCGATATCTAGTCTAATTTAATAAATTAATAAATTATTATTCGAAATACATATGTATATCGAACGATGCTCGTTGACGATGCTCGTTTGTAGAATGAGAGAATTGTTCGAATGAGAGAAAAATTGATATTTCGTCGCGAAAGCGGAAAACTAGTGTATTGTTTTTTTTTTTTTTTCTTTGTTGGTGTGAAGATGGGAAACTTGTAACTATACCGTAGTTTATCCCAAGATAATCTTACTTAATGGAACTTCGAGGGTCGCGATTCCACGAACGCAGAAATTCGACGCTCATTGTCGCGGATACTTATTGTTAAAACGAGTAACGAGATAAATGTGTACTTATCTACGCAGTGGAGAATTATACATACTTAAGCGCGTTGTTCTACTATTTACGACGCTAAGCTTGCGTTGAGTTATAGCGGTTGTCGAATAACAAAGTATGTTTTTAATGTAAAAGCCTTGTTCTTTCGTCCCACCCATTGAAAAAAATGAACAGACAGAGGTTTTACTCAGACGGACCATTTTCGAAACACATCACAAGCACAAAATTATAATTGCTTACGGTCATGAATTAATACGCAAACTCGCTTTCGAAGAGATAAAATTCTTGGTTTTAAAAGTCTTGAGTTTTAAAAATCTTAAAAATTTTAATAAATGATAAGTATTCAATACTTTACAAACGATTTTTTTCTGTGTTCCAAGTGCATAATGTGTATTATAAAGATGAATAAAAACAAATATGTAAATGTAGATATATCATATCCCTCAAATATTTTAAATTTTCTTTAAGATATTCTTTAAGATATCAACGATACTTATATTTGGGAGTAATTATAAATATGTTTATAATTTATTTGTTTAGATATTCACATTCGTAATATATATTACAAGCTGTGAAAACGAATAACATAAATAAATGTGTATAGTACTGTCTTTAATATTTTACATGAATGATATAACAATTTAAAATAAAAGAATAAATGTACATAATATTTTAATATAAAATGTTAAAGAAAATAGTCAATATTTGAACCAAAATAATAATATGTACAAGATTATAAGATATTGAATACTGAAGACATCCAAAATAATCAAGATTTTCGAAATTAAGACTCAGAAAGATTCAAGAAACTTTGAATCATGTTCGAAGTGATTCGATATCGTAAAATATCAGAATTATTATTAATTAATTATTATTAAGCTTGTAGCATGATAATTTATTTTGTAATTGTAATATGGTTCAAAAGTGGTCCGTTTAAATTAAACCGAGGATAAAATTAAAAAAAGAATTAAACGTTTATTAAGCGCGATAACAAACGAATATCACACGCACTTAATTTACAAGATATCCACATCATTACAGTTCACATCATACGCCCAACATAAAATGTGTCTTTTGCTCTAAACAATTCAGACAATCAACGAAAAAAACATCACCGGGCGCGAGTTGTAAGTTACCACAATTTCCACGCATCACCTTGTTTAGTTAGAAAGTTACATAGTTTTACACGTTAACGATTCTCCCATCTCTCGAAGATGGACTACTCTGTCTCTAACATTATCTCGTCACTATGTATCACATTCTTCGAGCGTAGAATCGTCGAAATTCCCAGTTATACATCTGCTAGATCCTCGATATTGTTTGCCAGCCAATTACGAATTTGTCAGTGATTCTATCCGGTATCGTAAACTTTGTTTCATGCAAAGTTTTTACAGAGAACAATCTCTATGCATTATGACTTGTTTCGCTACGAATTGATCACGTAGGTTATCCAATCGACTGTTTTAGCTACGCGATGATAGATTCCTGGCTGGCCTGGCTGTGCACACGAGTAACCTGCTGAGACGATACCTATTAGGTACCATCGTCCTGTTTTCTCTAACATCAGGGGCCCACCGCTGTCACCCTGCAGATCATAGCATATAAATATATTTATTAAACATGTTATTCTTTTTGTTAATTAAATTTATTAATTTAAAGTATTTATTAAACATGTTACGCGTTAAATATTGTTGACAATCGAATATTGGTCACTCGAATCTCAAGGGAAAGGAAAAGAATTCGAGTTACGAATGTTTCGTCTTGTCGAGAGAAAACTCTACTTGTAGAAGCTCTGTGAAGTGTAAAGAAATTTCTTTTTTCCATTTCTCTGTTTGTTCTTGTTTAATACCAATTGGTCATCAAAATTAAATTCTAGACTATGTGAATTACTATGTGTATAATAACAAAAAAATTTTTGAAATTAGAAAATATTGTTAAAAATTAGAATCTATAATAATTATTGTTATCTATTATAATTAACGTCTATAATAATTGTTAAGAATTAGAAGCTATTCTTCTGAAAGAAACAATCTCCAATTGTCATCATACACATTTTTGTATTCGTTTTACGACGCTGCTTTAACTCTCAACTAATTTTACGTCTTATATCATTTCCACTTTCTATTAATTTTATCATTTCCACTTGTAGAAATTCTTTAGTAACTTTATGCCATATTAAACTCACTTGGCAGGAGTCCTTGCCACCTCCACGATAACCGGCGCACATCATTTCGTCATAAATCACAACGTTAATCCCATTGGACCGGTGCCACCTTTCGCAGATTCGATTATCTATCACAGGTACGTCCACCGCTTGAAGAGTTTTCGGGCGTAGTCTCGACCCTATTCGGTTCAAGAAAATTCAGTACACGATATTCAGTACAGTCTACTAACGTTTCAGGTATATGTATTTACCAGCCTGCAACGCTCCCCATCCTGCAGCCCATCCATACTGTCCTAGAAAGTCTTCGTTCTTCTCAGGCAAACAGATCGGCGCTATGTGAGGCATGTAATGAACTGGACGATCTAATCGTAGAACAGCCACGTCGAACCTGGACAATGGACAATTTTATTTTACCCTCGGACAATGAATAATTTAATCGGTCAATTTAAGGTAGATTCTCTTAGAAAGACGTCAGACGTACATAAGTATTTTTGTACACTGAGATACATAGTTACGTCTAACGCTTGTAGAAACACTTTAAAATCGATGAGTGCAGAGTCTGTTCAGTTTCATAATAGAAATTTAATTTCTCGTCATTATTAAAGAAAGACCATGGATTCCTCGAGGCGATTTCTAAAGCCAATGTGCAACCTATACTGAATATTTTATATAATTTTTCATATTGTGTGCAATTTTATATTGTTGGATTTTCTATAAATACGACAATGTAAAAGTACAAATAGTAATTTAAAATGGAACTTGCAGAGATCTCTGACAACATAATACATTCATTGATCGAGGGCTAATTGTTAAATTCGTCAAATGTTCACATACCTATCAGCTTGAGGAGTAAACTTGAAGTAAGGATGAACACGAATCTCTCTAACACCGAAAGTGTAAGCTGGTAAAGTTTCAGTAGCCGAATTGACTACATAGTCGCCTAGGGTGACTTGGACTTGACGAGCAGATGCCCTAGAGATAGATTACGTTAAGAAAGAGAATATCTTTACTTGTAAAATTTTTACAATCAAGATTTCTAAGTGTGTCTTAATGTTTTGCTAACATTGTAATTCATTAAGTTGATTGATATATTGATCCAGATCAGTAAAGTGCAGATATTTATGAAAATTATTAAATAATAACTAAATAATTAAACAATTATCAAAATAATTAAAGATTTGTTTCGTCTGTTAAATATTTCTATGCATCTTTCCATTTTCAAATTTTTCACAAATATATAAAAATCTGTAGTTCATTTATTAGCTAAGAAACGATAATAACTGCAGTGCTAGCAAAACATTGAAACGCATCTCCCTTAAAATTTTCGAAAAATTCTACAGGTCGTAGAATCGTTGTACGTTCAATATTTTACTTACTTGGCTACACAGTGTCCAGCAGTGACAACGTGGAATCGATTAACGAGAGTGCCGCCGCACCGGCTGGATCCGATTCGTATGTACGCCTGAGAAAGTAGAACATTTTCTCTGTTTAAAACATGAGAAGCTGGAAATGATTCGACTTCGTTAATGCACAGAAATCTGACCTGCCATGGAAAACTGCCAAAGCCTGCTTCGTCGCCTCCGACGATTCTTCTCTGCGCAGTTTGCTTCGAGGCGGGAATCCCGCAGCCTGTAATTACGAGGATGTAGATTCTCTACTTTAATCGAAACACTCGGTGTTGCAGTGTTCATTCACTAGCAGCTCTTGAAGAGTTAGTATATGCGAAGTATATGCGGTGATAGTCAAAACTGAGTGAGCCTTAAAATTTGTTTAGCATTCTTTTAAAAATTTTTTATTACGTTGAGATTTGCAAACTGTGATGATTCTTTCGTAGTATACAATCTATAATCATTAAATTTACAATATATGTATATTATCATATTACTACCTCAGATTTAGTCTTCACTTTTTATAAGGTGTATGCTCACTTTTGACTCTCATTATATAAATATACTATTCAAAACAATTAGAGGATTATTATCATACTTTAATTTTTTATACCTTCTCTTTGTATTTGTATTTGTATTGTATATTTTTTAAATTATCTTTATTCCTTCGAGATATATTTTTTTTTAACAATATAAAGGCTGTCATATAAATTATGTTACGTACAATTTGACAAGTATAAAATAATCGTAATTTTTAATAAAATTTTACGTTCCAACAATTCTCAATCCAATCATTTTCTCAGAAATTATCTTAGAAAATGCTTGAATCTTACAAATAATATAACAATTTATTAAGTATATAGAATCTTTTTTATACTTTTATTTCTTTATTTAGCAACAAGATTGATCATAACAATAATCCTCTAATTATTTTAACCAGCATATATATTCGAACATTTTTGTACCGCGACATCTTTCTCTCGGTAGCGTTTCGTTAGTCTTCAAATTAGTATTACCGAATTAGACTTGGAGTAATTCAATCAGATCACATTTCACGATCAAATTACGGAACAATTGTACATTTTCATTCGCGACTTCAACAACTTTCAAAAGTTTCAAACGCGATCCCATCCAAGAGAAAAAGAAAAAAATTAATTCGCAATTAATCGGCAAATTAATCAAATCCTACATGTGAGAATAAAATTTACAATTAGAAATCGAGATCGTAATTTTGGGGGGACGAAGGACAAATTCATTCCTCGCGAGCTAGGGAAACCGGAAGTGGATAACGAAATTCAAAGGACTCGCGTGACAAGAGAACCGTCGAAGAAGTGCGGAACGGATTCGTTATCACGATGAACATGCAAGATCAATTGACAAATAAGGTGAGAAAGGAAACAGGAAGATCGTGATACATGCAATAACCGAAAAAGGAAGATGAGAATTAATTAAATAGGATGGCGTACATTCTGTTATACCTTGGAAGATACGAGCAGAGAAAGTGAAGGGATTCGATGACATGCTGAGGAAAGTGTAAGTGATAACGAGTAATTTACAAGTCAAGAATGTTTCGACATGCTGAAGAAAGTGCAAGTGTAATGTTCGTAGGACGAGAGAAAAAAAAACAGCAAAGTAGAGTCGAGTCTCGAGAGAACGTGAAAGAATCTCTACTTAATTTCAAGAGGCTATAAAAAATTTAAGTCATTTGAAATCTGCTTTAGCAATATTATTATTTAGCAATTTCTATTTATCAATAATTTTTAAAATTTAAATGTAAATTCGCTACATTCTTTTTCTCTTTTTACGAATTTTCCTTACATCACTTTCTGAAAAAAACATTTATATTTTTATTTATTTTATATTATTTTTTAACTAACAAATACATAGTATCGTCCATTATAAGCTCGTGACAAATAGTTCAAATCAATAGTTTCAGTCAAAAATCTTCACAGTGGAGCGAAATGAACAAAATATGGTAAAAATTAAAAAAAATATGGAAAGAACAAAGATGTGGAAATGGGACCGAGAAAAAATTCCACGACGCAACGAAAGAAAGAAAAAGGGGAAAGAGATGGAAGAAACGCTTTTTATCCAAAAAGAGGAGAAAATAACATCATTCAGGAAGCATTTCCAAAGAAGAAGAGAGCGGTGGTTGATCATGCTAGTGCAAGAATCGGATTGGCATGCTTTTGTAGGAAGGACTTACGATCATCATTGGCGTTCTCCGTGTAAGTATCCAACGGAAGCGGCTGAGATTGATCTCTAGGTGCCTCAATCAGGTTATAATCAGAGCTATCTTTCGGTTCTTTCCGCTGACAACAAGCGTACATGATGCCACCGCAACTGCCGTCCAATAGGCCAGCGGACATCCAGCACATTAGAAAAAATTCGCAGCTTCGTCCGTCAGCGCACAACGTATCGTCACCCTTCCACAGCGGTCTTTTTTGTTGACGCGGCTCTGCACAAAACAGGGCAAACTGTTCTTTCTTCACCTTTCTCTTTCGCGACATTCTCCCACGAATATTCTCTTTTCTTTTTCCAGAGCGAACCGATCGAAATGAAATAATGGAAGGGCGTTGTCACTCGGTGATACTTGTCTCTTTTTAATTGTTAGACACATGTGCGATAAGAAGAAAGCAAGGTCTGATTACTCCAAGCCTAGCTTCAGAAATACTTTCGCAAGAGAAATGACACTGCCCGACAGATCTTAATTTCTTGTGGTTTTTTTTTTTCTAGCAGCGAACAATCAGTTCTGATAGATTTCTGCGCGCTGATTGTGAATCTGAAATTGGTTTTTCCTTATCACTGTCGGTCTATTAGAAAATTCAGTTTTGAAAGGGGTAATAAATTTTAAAGTTCGATTTTATTTCGTGTTTAAATAATAAAAGGTATACAATTTTCATTTATGGGAAATAATTTTATTTCATTTATGTGAGATTATTTTCCCATTACACAATTATGTAGTTTTACTATTAAAAACGTTCTGTGCCTCGCTGAAGCATATAATAATTAATATTATCGATTGAAGGTTTTATCAAACAAAGTCGTTTTTAATGAAAAGTGATTTACATTGATTAGCTTTTGAATTTTCCATTTATTACGTTTTATTCAATTAAAATTTTAATATTAATTTAATATTAATTTTAAGTTAACAATATAATAGATATTAAATCAGTAATATAATAAATATGAAATAATTATCAGAGCGATGAGAACCGATTTTTTGAGGATAATTTTCAGTTTTTAACTATTTATAATATAACAACATTAAGTTCAATTAAATTTATTTCCCTTAAATAGATATACCTCTATCTTTTACCATTTAAACATAAATGTTCGTTGCACATTGTTTAGGTTTAAAAATCTCTAGGTTTCCCTTTGCCAAAATCGAATTTTCCAAGAACTAACGAGAAAAAATGTATTTCAGGTTCTAGTCTGTCAGAAACTGTTATTCCCTAGGAAAAAAAAAAAAGAAACTTCTTTTCATGTTGTCAACAGCATAATTGAGCAACTCGCGAGAGTATCAAGAAAGGCACGCAATAGTTTTAAAAACTGAGCGAAATAAGCGTTATTTCACGGGGTGTCGCTAATACAATTGCGATGCGGTTTAACGAAATCGTAAAAGCAACAGGAAAGAACGTTCGAGGGTCTCTGTCGTAACGATACGACCACTGCGGATGACGGAAATCGTCGCCACGACGGAAACCGGTCCGGCTGGCACGATCGTTGCGACACACGGTTAGGATATTGCGCCCGGGCACTGTTTAATTTTCAATTATCCGGCTGGTACGAAATCCAAAGGCGCGATGCAATGTAACCGAGTATCGGTTTCACTCATTGGATTAGCGAAAGAGCGAAACACGAGCTTTCAACAGGTACAATTAGGAATCACGATTTGTCGTTAAGGTCGCTCTCTCTGTTAGACCACCGATCAATGCCGATCGATTCACGGAGAACGTACCTGACTCTAACCTAGGATAATCGTCGAGGATTTGCTTTCGATGACCTGAAACAACAATTTCGTCTTTTAAACGAAAGAAACAAATTTTCGGGCAGAAGTTTGTAATCAAGTGTGCTCGAATAGCACATGAAGTAAAATGACTCGTTTTTTATAATTAAATCAAATTATTAAATACTAAAATTAGAGTTAAGCCTAACTTGTGATTTGTTAAATAATAAGTTAATGACATTTCTAAATATTAGAGTTATTCATAAGATAACAATTTTCTTAATTCGATGCTCAACTCTTTGCTAGTCCAATAAACCAAATTATTTAGGACTTAAATGTATTTTTGAATGAATTTTATATACATTTTGTATTATAGTATTATATACTGATAGTATATATATTTACATTTAATATGTACTAATGTGTATATTTTTTTATATATATTATCAATGTAATATATGTATATATATATATGTATATAGATGAAAAAAAAGTATTTAGAAATTTGATGAACTATATAATATTAATTGATTGTACAATAAATTTAATTGGATCATATTATATAATACTAGTCGTATAATATTGTCTATTATACTTTAATATTAATATTATACTTTTATATTAATAATATACTTACTATTATTATACTTTAGTTGTAATATTATTATATAATATTTATTTCTAAAATGTTCAAAATGTGTAACAAAAGTGTATGTATTATCACTGTATTAATTTAATTAAATTACCTCTGATCTCATCCTCGAAATCTGGCAAATGGTTCGATTGCTGGAAAAACGAGGATGCACTGCCACCAACTGGTGATGGAAAATCGTTATCACGGAAGATCAGTCGTGGAGTTCGGTGTCCCATTACTGGCCTGTTGTATTCGGAAATTGGACTCCTCCACAGCGACTTGTGCTGTCTCCAGGATGGGAAACGAACACCAGGATGCGCACCGATGTTCCTCCCTATAGGAGGTCCACCACCCTCGAAGACGTAACCGGCTGGACCACTTGGAAATCGAACGTATCGACGTCTACGAGATGAATTTAAAATAAAGCTTGTACGATTTCCATCGTTGTCGATACGTGGTTCGATGTAACCGGGATTAATGATCGTCTTTGGCTTGCTAAGGCTCGATCCTGAGATCTCTGTTTCACTGCTGGCACGATTCGAGGATACGATGAGGATTATTGCTATGAGTAACCATTGGCACGATCTCGCTGCACCCATCATTTAGCTGGAATACAACGATGAACTTTTTGGTGAGTTAAACTTGCTTGCAATGTATATTTATAAAGATTAGTAGAAATTAGTAGAAATTAGTAGAAATTTAACCATATTTGGTATTCATTTGATCTTTTTATACTTAACTTCGAAAGTTGTTTAGACTTTGAATATATTTTTATATTTTTAAATATTTATTTATTTATTCATTCGACGAAGTACATCCTTTAATATAAAGGAGAAATGAATAAGAAGTACAGTAGAAAACAAAATAAGAAACATAATTATACAATAATAAAATTAGAAAATTGTATAACTGTAAAATTGTTTTTTATACTTTAGATAAGTATAAATTTGATATAATATAAAAGTATAGGAAATGAGCAAAAGAAGCAATATACAATAACGAAATTAAAAGTTAAGCACAAAAATAACTTCTTCATAGAATCGAGAAAATGGACAAAAGTTAATCTTCTTAGTATCTTATCGTTTTAAAACACTACACAGTTTTATCGTAAAAATAAAACGCGTAAAAATCTTCGAGCACTAAGTATCTGACGGGACACTCAGCAAGACATACATTTCCTATTATGAAACTGTATACATTCTTCTTATGAAACTAAGGGGATGGCACTTTTAAAATCTTGACTTGTAGTGATTGTCTGCTTGCAATAATAGTATAAAATATACAATAACTACTTTAATATTCAGACACTAAATATTGAAAATGTTTTAATTTTGTAAAAAGAAATCGTATAATGAGAAGCTTGGGTTTATTTGAATGCAAGTTTTATCTGAACCCAGATGTACTGTTGTAGGATTTTTTTTTTGCAAAATTATAACAGTTAAAATATTAATGTAAGTCACTGTATATTCGTGTAATTTGAAAATTTGTTTAACGACATTAAAAACAATATTCTAAGATCTTTTTAGCAAAGGTGTTGATCTTACTTTTTCAATTATCTCTATAAAAATAGAAATTCGCATAAATATCCACGTTCTACTTCTACATCAAACCTAAAGAAATCAAGTTAATGATTGCGACTATAATCGAACAAAAAGATTTAAACTTCGCCAACTATTGAGAAAAATCGTTCGCGACGTTCACAATTTAAATACTCCACTTTCCCCTGTGTTTAACAGCGTCGCTCTTTTGGAACCACTTTTTTCCCTCCCATTGTTTGCCCTTTCTTCCAGTCTCTGCTTGCGTTGTAACCAGCATCCTTTCCAAGTATCATTTACGATAAAAACTTTGCACTCTTTTAAAACGCAACGTGCCTAAATTCTGTCCTTGCAAAACTGTTATCTCGCCATTTGTTTCACCGATAAGCTCTTTCAATTAACCTGTGCAAATTGTTAAACATTCGATATCTTTCGAGGCAAGGCTGAAAATACAAGGTACCAAGTGTTCCCATTATGAAACACAGCGCGATGAAAGGGTAAACAATTGTCGATTTCCACGACGAAGAGTAAAAAAGGCCACTTCGGTTATCATCGGGATCAATTTGATTGCACTTCTCATAGCGATATTATAACGTAGTTTATATCGTATAGTTTATATTATATGAGAACACCCGAAATTAACTCTTAACCGTTACCATTAGATCACCGAGAACCGTAACATTTTAGAATTAAATTAAATTAAACTAAATTCAAAGTAGGACAATAATAATGTAGAATAGAATTAAATTATAAAATACAAATTATCTAGCACAAATTACTATAGTCATCTACGATCCAACTAAATTCTCTTTTCTCTATTTCAACAATCATCCAATGATTCATTTGGATTTCTTTCCTCTTCGATCCACGAGTTTTGCGTGTCTTCACGATTGATCACGCCTTCATCTTTCGTTAGAATCAATTTTCCAAACACCAAAGGAAGAAACGTTGCGTGAGAGAGCTTAACGAGCCACGCAGATGCTTCTCGACACGAGTTCCTTGTTTTTATCAAAGTGCACGCAATGATTCGTGACTAGGTTGCATGTTTGAGATTGATTCAGTTGATTTTCTGAGAAAATGTCGTCAAATTGAAATAAGATATACAATAGCATTAAATATTACACTTGAATTTTTTGTCATGGGAAATTTTTATGTATATATCATACGTGTTGAATTGTGATATTATTAGTACTAGATTGCAGACATTTATGCGTATTTATATTTTGTCATCAATTTTTAATCGTTTTACAACCACGAATATTCCTATACAAAAATATATTGCTCGAGTAAAAAATACTATTATGAATACTCATATAGTTCATTTTGAACCACTCATTCTTTTCCACAATATTCTTCTCTAATTTCAATCGAAAAAAGGAACGTATCTCGTTTACAATTGCGCGAATCATCCCGTACGAACCAAAAGAAAAATAAAACTTACAATTAAGTAAAATCTGAATTAGTTCTCCTTTTGACCTACTCGTCCTCGGAAAGCCGGAAATCATCAACGTCCGGCGTCGTGGGAGTAGAAAATAAGTTCCTGGTGCGCCGATCGAATGAATTCTTTCCCAATTGAACGAAAATATGTTGTTTGCGTCATGTTGGCTCCGTAACGAGTGAAAGTAAAACGAGACTCACCCGGAACCGAACACATCGATTATACACGCGGAGATTCATAGTGGTATCCGGACAGCATCCAGTTGTTGGTTGTTGGTCAGTTATTAGGGATATTCAGAAGAAGTGAAAATGTCAGACATTGAGTTTTATTGCCCCCTGTGGAAGAGATTGGGCAACAATCAGCGTAGCCATCGTGCCAGTTGCATTAATCATTAGTTTGACCACGTTCAAGTCAATTTAACCACGTAACGGTCCTTGTCACCCCGTTTCGTAATGGGTTAAAAAATCCTCGCCCAAAAAAAAACGGTCCATTGTCTGTTAATCGAGAACCAGAACAGTCAACGAACGAGAAGAAATTTCAAGGTAAAGGAATGTCGTTAGTTAGAGTTAAGAAGAGAGGTGACAAGAAAGAATAGAAATTGATATAGATTCGTCCAATTCCACCTACAATAAGTGAGATATCTCTTCAAATGTATATTAGAAAATATCGATTGTTAGATTAGATTTTGTTTATAAATATTAGCCGAATAAACTGACTGAAAGAGTTTGGGGGTTTGGGGCGTTCATTTGAAACACGAATGTGATAAGTATTAATAAGCGTTTTTGTACACACTAATTATTAATGGTCTGTGTTTTTAAACATCTAAGTTGCAATTGTTTAATGATGTATTGGCCAATTTTCGAAGAAACAATACAAGTAGGTAATAAATTAATATAGCAATTACTAATAATTAGTCTGCAGATTTTCAAGCGTTTATAAAAGGTTCGAAAGTGCAAAATTGCACATGATACGAAGAAACATGTTATTATAATGTAAATTATAATATATTAACTGCATCAGTTTCACCTAAGATCTATGCCTAAACGATTAATAACAAGTACCTGTTAATATTAGTTCTTATAAATTGATAAATTACTAATAGATTGTAGTAAAGATTAACAGGCTCGAATTTTAACGTAATTTTTTATATTATAATAATTATATTATATATATATTATATATATTTTATATTATATATATATTATATATTTTATATTATATATATATTATATATTTTATATTATATATATATTATATATTTTATATTATATATATATTATATATTTTATATTATATATATATTATATATTTTATATTATATATATATTATATATTTTATATTATATATATATTATATATTTTATATTATATATATTTTATTTTATTTTATATTGCAATATTAATTTGTCTATCGACATTAATTATCATTTTATTATTTACTTGCGTTTCTTCTTTAAAAATCGATCAATCGGCTCATTTTTCCAATCAAAACTAATATATTTAAAAATACATAGTCTATCGTAAATTTTCAAGAAAAAAAAGAAACAATCGATGTATAACGTCCTTGCCAGAATAGCATCGCGCTAGCGAGTGAATGGTTCGATGTGTTAGTAGGTCATTGGCTCTGTCGTATAGATCCAGCAGAAGTGAAAGTGCACTTCTTGCATACACGACAGTGTGAAGTTCATGTTCACGCTGTCACTCGCCCCGCCGGAAGTTCCATCGACCATCGACCATGTTCTTTTTATTCTTTGATTCCTCTGTTGATCTAATCAAGAAAACGAATGATAAAATGCTAATAGACGCAAGAATCAGTATTGCACATTCATTATAATTATCCGAAACGCGGCTGTACTAGCTCTTTCAATTCGATAATAAATGTTATCGAAAGAAGCCTGACATGAGCGAAAAAAAAAAAAAAAAATAAAGTCGCAAGAAAAGTGAAACCCGGTAAAAAAGTTATTCCAGTTTCTAACTAGTTCCAAACCTGTTAGTGGCCTTGATTCTCTAGCTACTCGATAATATTTTCATTGCTATTTTTCTTATTTCTTCCTTGGCGACATTCTCCATTGATCGTTGATCTTGGATTAAAGATTTAGATGAATGATAACCTATTTTCTCTCATAATTTAATAATTACTAGTAATACCAGATATTAGTTTAATAGAAATAAATAATAAATTAATAGCAATTACTAATAATCAACATTTATAAAATTGTAATATTAATAACTAATATAATATTAATGTCCAATGAATACTAAAGGGTAGAAAAATATAACTTTATCACTCGTCCTTAGAGAGAAGACGAAATTCGTCGACATTTATCTTCATCCTTCCCGAAAGGACCTCATATATCATAATCAATTATTTCTCTTCTATTACACATTTCAGGCAAATATGATAGAAAACGCTTCTATCATCGTTATTGCAATTATACGAATTGCAACAATTCGTATAAATATCAAAGTAAAATAAGTACCAGAAAGATCTACGGGAAAAAAGGATCGCGAAAAAATCGTCGGTTCCCTGAACTTAATCGAAGGAAAAGTGATAGAGGATAAAAAACGAGGTAAACGGTAGAAAAGGCAATGTATGTACAAGCCGCACGAACTTTCACCTTCCTGCGGCTAGTACGGAGACTCTATCATGCTGCCTTA